CCTGAGCCAAAGTTGGACACTCAACCGACTGAGTCACCCAGGTGCCCCATATTAAATGAATTCTTAATGAAGACAGTTTTGGGAGGGAGCTAATCTAAGATGGTCCAAACACATACATTTCTGAAGGCCTCACTGGATTACATTTTATCACTTTTATCACATTACTTTATCTTCTTTAAACCAAAATAATTCTAACTCAGCCCTTTCCTACAAGGCTAGCAGAAAACTCAATGTTCATAACTACTGGGATTCCCTGCAAGATCGTGCTAAGGTTCTCTTATCCCTTTATACAAAACAAAATGTTCAGGGTGGCCATTGTCTTTGTCCACACTGATTTCTTGACATAGCCAGAGCCTCTGTTGCTTTGTTGTTGTGCTATTCTTTGACATAGCCAGAACCTCTGTTGTGATGGTTTTGCCATGTGCCCACTTGGTTACGCTGAACTACATTTCCCAGAATTCCCTTTCCTCTGGGTTTCCTGTTAGCATGGGCTACTAAGGAGATTTTCTTGACAGTTGGAGGATGTAAGGAAGGCAGCAGCCATTTTGCAGTACACACTGTTGCTGACCTTTTGATTCATTTTACTGGCATGAAGCAGCAACTTGGCCAGCATTGTTCTCTCTTGCCCCTGACTGGATCTTCTTTCAGTTTCTCTGACTCCTAGTCAGCTGTGTGTGTGGCTAGGTCCTCAACAAAGGATGCTGACCTCTATAAATACTTTTGTTACCAAGGTCAGAGACAACAAGAACTGACGTGCATTAGCCTAGCCTCTTGGTGTTCCAGCTCACGCTTCTGGGATTCCAGCCTGTTTGTGACCTTCCTTCCTAATTGCCAGGCTGTTGGTTCAGAGTTCCAGCATTAGATGTGGAGACAACTTTGCTGAGGCTGCTTAGTAAATTCCCATGAGTGCTTAAGCCAGTTCCCTTCAGTAAGCCCATATATTTTCATCTCCTATTGTTTCTGCTTCTCTGTGTGAACCCCGACTAATACACTTCCACACTGCTCACTGAGGATACAAAAACCTTTGTCAATGTTGGAATCCCATGGTCTAGTTTGGGTGCTGCCTACATATATGCTTGCAGCCTCTCCTTACTGAGGCCTTGTCACTCTCCCTCCCAGAGACGTCCTGGGCAATTCAGCATAGCTCTCTACCATGGTAGGGTCATTTTTAGTTTATATGCCTTTGATTCATCATCTTCCTCTGGAGTATTTAATGACATTTCTTCAATGGATTTAGGCTTTCACAAAACATAGGGTTTGACTTCAGTCCATTTCTGCTTTCAAACCCAGTAAAAACTTAGTGAGGCAAGCCAGTACAATACTTTACCTTTTGAAATTGGAGAGCTTAGAGTAGGAGAAAAACTAAAGGAAAACAAACATAACACTTTAATAATGATCCAGCCATAGGAGGGCATAGCTGAAGATGTAATCGAGATATACTCCTTAGCCAGTGGATTTAAAAGCCAGCTGTTCCCTAACTCTATGCCTATCAAATCAGAAACTTCTAGGGTGGGGTACAGGGAATTTGTATTTTTAATTAGAATTCTCTCATGTGGTTCTTATGTACAGCTAAATTAAGAACTGTTGTCTTATGCCATCTTCTTTATATTGAATGTCAGTGTTCTGAGTGGAGCATTTGATGGTGGTGGATAGCAAATAGTAATAATCCTCCTATATAAGGATCTGGTGTGTAGGCTACTCCATATGGCTAACCATGCATTCGTGTTTTGAGCTAGAAGAGGCAGGGATAGGGTTGACATTCTATTATAAAGTTACGAAATTTTCTTATTTACCATTCTTATGTAATTGGTAGAAACCCCATCTGTGAGAGAACATGAGCAGGGTGATTATAGTCAAATAAAAACACATGTTTTGTGGTCAGGACTGAGACAGTCAAGTGTGGACACAGCTCACAGACTGGAGGATGAGCAGGTCAGAGAGAGGTGCACTCCACATTTGTCTCAGTGGAGTTGGGTTGAGGTGTCCTTCCAGCTGTGGGTCAGGCTGCCCTGAGCTTCCCTGGATAGATTCTAGAGGTGTGAGGAGTTCCAGTTCACTGAGGAAAGAAACAAAGGCAAAAGCGTAATGATGGTGGAAACTGTCCAGTAAGAAAACAAAGCCTGGTTGGAGCAATACTCTTTGCTATCTCCCAATGACAGTGATCTTGATGGACAGGAGAATGTGAGGGCTCTGTGCTCTGGGGGCCTTTCTTCTCTGGCATGAGAAACCTCTGTGAAGCCATGGATCAGGCAACTGGAGAGTTGCCATGGGAGGCTGCCTAGAAGAGGCTGCAGGGCACTGAAGACAGAGCACTTGATAAGGATAAAAAAGTTGAAGCTGACAGAAATATTAATACCCCCATCTTATACTAAAGCAGATTTGAAGAGGGAATATGACAAAGTCTTTACAAAGACAATAATTGAGGCTGTGAGCTGTTCTAAGGTAACTTGTATTCTGACAACTTTTCCCCAAACTTCTGATAAGCCAATGCCATTATCCAGCGACAAGAAAAAATTCCACAGGAGAGACTACGGCGAACACTGGAACCTCAGCAAGAAAGGATGCCTTCACAGTGGTTTGGAGAGAACTGCTTGCACAGAAGAGGTGGAACTCAAGAAACTAGTTTCCAAAGTTGATGGTGTCAGAATTTAGAAGGTTTCTGTGGCCATGAGCCAACTAGCGCAACAGAGGGACCCATTTATTAAATAGGTATAATAATAGCTTTGCCTGTGATTTGGGTAGGAATCTAATTTTGGGAAGCCAACTTACTAAATTCAATTTCTTGCCAAGAAAGTTTGTCTCAGAAGCAAATCCATTTTTTAGGGGCCTTACTAAAATACTATGGCAAATATAATTTGCAGTAGCCACCGTAGAGGCTGTATGTAAGGACAACTTTGATTACTTGTCACACTGCCTAAGCCACTAAGACTCATTCGGAATGTTCTCTGTGATGAAAGAGATGCCTTGAGAAAGAAGGCTTGTCCTATTCTAATGGCCTCCTGGTGGCTGAATCATAGCTTAGTTCATAGTCAGGGACTCTCTTTATAGCGGCGACTATCAATATAGTTGGTGAGGAGGTGAGAAGAAATCAAGAGCTTAATTCTACTGATAAGATCTATAATGGTGCCCCTGGAGCTTTTATATTAATTGTCAATTATTTCAGCTCTGTTGATTAAATAGCCAGTAGAATTGTCTCTGAAAATGTGGTACGAAGACAAAGGCTTTCCTCCTTCTACTGCAATGTTTACTGTATGCTGTTGTGCCCCCTTGATTTTCCTTGAATAACCAACAAGCCCAGCTATTCAGTGTGTTTGCAAGTTAATGCTGAGTGATCAGTACAAAGACTGGGAGGCAAATCAGGTACAGTTTTCTATGGGAGAGCAGCTCCGTTAATTCTTGAGGAAGTGCCAAGTCAACCCAATGCAGTAGTAACAACTTACAGAGTTAACAACAAGTTACACCTCAACGTTAACAGCACGTTGAGTTTTTAAATATGATGAATGATTCTTAACTGGGAATGTAGTGGTGAATGGCACTGAGACCTAGATTGAGATTGATAGTCAGTTTGCCTGGTGCTTAAAATATTGTGCAGTAATTCTAAACATTAGGAGAGTAGTTTCCTGCCAGCAGGGACTCTGCATGGGCATCTACCCAGACTCTGAGGGGTCTTTTGGGGATAAACAGGATTGAAGTTTTTCATTTCCAGGAAGAGCTCTTCTGTTGGGAAAGAACTGTAGCAAAAGTGAAATGACAATTCCTTTCCTGCTACAGGATACCCATTACAATTCAGAGCCTACATAGCTGGTTCTTATAGCACACAACAGAAGACCTTCCCAATTGTTTTGGTTCTATTTTTTTTCCCCGTAGTGAGAGTCTAATATTTGTGCTGGAAAAAAATGGTTTATGCCAAGTAGAGATGAATTTTTAGAAAACATCTCCCAGGCCTTTTAGAAACCCAAGCTGAAATCACTTTCTTTGCTGCAGATGATGTAGGTGATGTACAAGCCTGTTTGACCGGTTTTGTGCCTTGCCCAATGGCCCTGTTCTCTGTTTCTATCTGCAGCCAGGAAAACTTCTAATGCTTAATATTTGAATACTTGAAATCTGCACAGTAAAACTCTTCTAACGGACCAATACTGAAATGAGGTATAAACCAGCTAACGGTTTCTTAATCTCAGACCTGGAGATGAATACAAACTGTGCTTTTCTGAAGTGTGTTTGAAAAACCCCTGCCTCAACATTATGACTAATGGGATCAACTTTAAAAGTTGTTTCCTAGCTAAAAACCTATTCTAGTACAAGACGGGTGGGCGGGGGGAGGTACCAAGAGTTAGGGGAGAAGGTGTGATGGTGGCTTTCTAAAACGTGACCAAAATTGTGTTTTAGAATATGATATAGAAACCTGGACAGGGCTTTGAACAAACTTCTGTACGATGAAAAGGAGGCAAGAAGGGCCCAAAATAAGGCCTTCAAATTGTTGGTAAACATAGGGGGGAGAATTAAGATTCTTTTAAGATCCAAACAGAACTTGTCTCAGAAGTCTTTATCTGACACCATATTTTCTGCAAAAAAAAAGATACTGAATGTTCCTTTTTGAACTCTATCATATTCTTGCATATATTTTTGCAAAGATTGTTTCCCTCATCCTTGTGATGTTCTACTATTTTTGTTTGATTTGGTACCACAGATTAGATGTTAGTTTACCATGCTAATGTGTAAAGGGAAAAAATGATCTAAAGTAGGTGAACCTTAATGAACAAATGCATACTTTATTTAAGTTATGAAGTTTATTTAAGTAAAGTTGTTTGGTGTTTTTTGGCAGTTGTTAACATGAAGGAAATGAGTCCAGTTCTCATAAATATTAAAGAAAAACTGCTACTTATTCTCATTGTACAGAAGTAAACTTTAGAAAAAGAACTAGGGTGGGACCAGAGCCAGAAGAAGATGATTTACCAGCAAGGCATATTTGTTAATTTTTTGTTGTTTTTGTTTTTTAATAGTGACAAGAACTGTGCAGTACTAGGTAAGTTTGGACCATGCTGTCAATTTTACTTTAAAATGAGAATGTGATGCTTGGTATATTATCTTTTTGGATGAGACTTAAGTAATTCCTGGGGGGGAAAAATCTAGTTTCAGTTTCCATGACATTTACCAATTGTTCCAGGCACACATAAGGAACAGGCAGGGTCACAGTCCAAGTTTAGGTGAAGGTTGGAGTATTCTAGACTCAAAACACAGAGGTGTGGATCAGACTGTGATACCAGCTGGAGAAACTTCCTCAGCAGTGTCTGAACCGCTCCTGAATCTTCAAGTGACCCAGTATTTTTTTTTTTTTGAGTATTATATTGATTATTGAGTACTCTACATATTTATACATTCAATGTGTTTTAATCAATCCCAGTCATTCTTTTTGATGCTCAAAGTATCGAATAGGGCCCTTTGACAAAGGGGGCCCATTAGATTGGCTATTTATTTTTTACATGACCCATTAGTATCTGGGTGCTTCTGTGCTTTCCAGAACAATGCTCACCTTCTTTGCTCCCCATCCCAGACTTGGAATCAGTCAAATTTTGTTTAGAAGCATGGTTAGGATGGTATTTTGAAGCCAAATCTTGACACTGAGGGGACGTGATATGGTGTGTGCAGGGATATGGCATGAGCAATGACATGCTCGTCGAAATGTTAAACTCGGTCTACTGGAAATGTAGGGAGTAGAGGAACAAATTAAAAGACACGGTGATGAAGCCAGCAGACAAGTTCAGACTATGAGGCATCCTATCAGACACCTGGCTTGGTCTTATTAATAAGTCAATGTCATGAAAAATGTGGGGAAGATGGTTACAGATTTGAAGAGACTTAAAAGACATAGCAAAAGCCATATGGGGTCATTATTTTAAAACTGTTTTGAAAAAATAATCTATAAAATAATTCCAGAAATTATTAGGGAAATTTTAATGTAGATTCATTATGAGCTATTAGGTAACTAATTTTTTGAGGTGTGACAATGATATTCTCATTTAGCTAAGTATAGTCTGGTGATACGGGCTGAAGTGTTTAAGGGTCCACCTAATGATGTCTGTAGTTTATTTTAAATGATTTGACAATAAAAATCAAAATAAAATCGTATATAACTATACAAGTATATATGATGTGCATAAGCAGCAGATGGGGCAAACGCAATTTGTGAAGAATTATTGTATCTAGGTGATGGGTCTTTACTGTACTTCTCCTTTTCTATATGTTTTAAGTTTATTATTATTATTATAATAAAAGGAAGTTTTATAAAGGTGGAAGCAGAACTCCCTGACTTTGGGACACAGGAAACTTCTTGCTCCTGAGGTCTTTATGCTAATGTTCCTTTCTACATTTCCTGCCCGAGGGGTGATACAGCTGTCTGTCCAGCTCCCAAGTCAAGAGTCTTAAAGCTCTCCTTATCCCCTCTTTCTCCTTCAGCCTTTTCCATTCAACAAGCATGCTTTTCCAATGGTATCTTCTAGATAGGTCATGAGTCTGCCCCTATCTTTGTCCACTATCTCAGAGACCCCAACAGCAGACTCTGACCTCCTTCTTCCAAAGTCATGTTCCTTGCACCCATTCAGCCTCCAGAGCAATCTTTCTACAGTGTGATTCCCATCACCCTGCTTCTCTGTGACTCCCCATTGCTTAGAGGATAAAGTCCAAGCCCCTAGCATGGTGTGCAATGCTGCATGACCTGCACTGCCTTTCTTCCCCCGGTAACGCTGAGCTCTACTCGTATTGTCTTCCATGTGATGCTCTTTGCCTCTTTTTCCTGGGGCTGACTCCTCATGGGCATCCTGGAATCCCCAAATTCAGGAGTTCTCCTTCCCCAGCGCAGTTCCTCAGCCACATGTCTGCCTTACTGGACTGCAAGTCCCTCATAATAGCATATGCACATCACTGTTGCTGCATTAGCTCATACTTGAGTGAGGCAACAGATTGTAGTGATTGGAGCCAAAGTACCTGAGTTTGAATACCAGCTCTGTTCCCCACTCACTCCTTGTGCAACCTTGGGCAAGTTGTTTAATCTTTCTCTGCTTGTGATTCTCAAATATGGAGTCAGGATAATAATAATAATAGAACCTACCTCACAAAGTGTTGAGGATGAAGCGAGTGTTTGGAATAGTGCCAGGCACATTATAAGCACTCAATAAGTGTTAACTATTAATACTGTCTGAGCTGTGTTCCTATTTTCCCACTAAATGAGATCCTTGAAATGAGGGGTGGTATTTATAGATATTACCATGTGCCAGGCACTGTGTTAAGTGCTTGTATTCCATTTAATCTTCACAAATGAGGTAAGTGCCAATTCTCCCTGCATCCCTCTTGCCTCCCACTTTCCCTCTCTCCCACTTCCCTTCTTCCTTTTCTCCCTTTGCCTTTCCCTCTTTCCACAAATATTTTACTTCCAAGCCTATGCTATTACCCCTGTTTTTACAGATGAGGAAACAGAGGTATAGCACAGATAAGCAGTTTGTCCATATGCACATCGTCAGTTCAGTGGAAGCCCCTAGGTTGGTGTTCCTAATGCCTACCTCTGAAGTTGGTGGGGTCCACACTGTACTGTGCATTCTTTTTTGGACAGAGAGCAAGTAACATTTGACTGCCATTTTAGTGCTCACTAAGTGTTTGTGAAATGAATGAATCAATGAATGAATGTGAGTAAATTAAGTTAAAATGAGAGAAAGAGGGACATGTGGGTGTTGGTATGATGAACTCAGGTTTCGATGTGGGCATAAAATGCTCTGAACATCCAGGCAAATAGCATCCAGGAGGGTATCTTTGGGAAATACAGCTCAGTGTCGAGCTGTGGGGATGCCGAGTGAACAGAGGGGACCCTTGAGGACTTACGCACCAGTTCTTTCAAAGTCAGTCTTGCATTTTGCTTAGAATTCACATCAAGATGAATGATCTGGTCCCAAATCCTCATTTTCTTTCTTTCTGCAAATCATCAGAATTTTTTGGCTCCCCTCTTCTCCATAATTCCTCAAAGATTACTCAGTTTCCAGGATTATGTGTACAATTTTCCTCATGTTTTTAGCTCTTCTAGCAGGGATTTAAAATAATTAGCTGCTAGGAGTTATCTTACTACTTCTATAGTTAGATGTCTTCTTTCTACATTCTTGGGATGTTTTCAGTTTGAAAGTTATTCTCCTTGATGGTACTGCCTGGGGAAAGGCCAATTTCCCTTCTGGTAGTGTCCCTTCATCAGAGAAGCTTTCCTTGGTTGTCCTATGTGCATTAGCCCTCCAATTCCCATCACTGCCATGTTATCTTAGGTTATGGCCTTAATGGCATTTATTATCTTTGAAATTATCTTCAGCCAGATACATCACATATTTCAGTCTCTCTAATGAAAGTAAACTCTCTGAGGGCAGAACCTGGCATACTGCATTCACTACTGGTGTGTGTGTTACAAGTGTCCAAAGAATTCTTGTTGAATGAAAGATATGTAGATATAGGTGGGATGGGAAAAAAGGAAAACACAGAAAAGGGTAAATGTAGGCAAAAGCTCTGATGTGCCTCCAACGTGCTGTACTTCTTGCCACCAAAACACTTTCTTTTGGTGTTTTATTTTCTATTTTAATTTTTTATTCTATTATTACATTGTTTTCTATGCTGTTCCGTCTCCACTGCTGGCCCATGGGCTCTGGGAGCTTGGTAATGCTCACCAAACTTTCCATTCATTTCCTTCCTTCCTTCCTTCCTTCCTTCCTTCCTTCCTTCCTTCCTTCCTTCCTTCCATTCACTAAGATTTGAGTAAGGCTATAGGCTGGAAGCTGGAGGTCCCAGTGTGGTTGAAAATGGGAAGAGAGACCAGCTATTGCCTCTTTTGACATCATAATTTTGCCTGTGGCTAAGCCAGCAGCATCTAAGAAATATTTCCTTTCTCTTGTTGCCCAGGGAGGCTTTATTTAAGAAGCTTTTAGCTATAGGGGAATAATGTGCTCCCTGTAACCTGACCTCAGTTCTGAGGAAACCATAATCAACCTGCGTATAGGCTGAGAGGATTAAGAATTTTTAATTTACTTAACCACTTTCAAAAAATATTGCACTGGAGGGGCGCCTGGGTGGCTTAGTCGGTTAAGCGTCCGACTTTCGCTTAGGTCATAATCTCGCGGTTCGTGGGTTCGGGCCCCGCGTCGGGCTCTGTGCTGACTGCCAGCTCAGAGCCTGGAGCCTGTTTCAGTCTGTGACTCCCTCTCTCTCTGACCCTCCCCTGCTCACGCTGTCTCTCTCTCCTGGAAATAAATAAAACATTAAAAAAAAATTTTTTTTAAAAATATTGCACTGGATCATGCTACGTATTTTAAATGAGGCTAGTAGTTTAGTTCACATTTCTTTGCATTCTAAGTGGAGTAATTTGATTCAAAGTTATATATTCAAACTGAATATAGATTATAGTTCACATTCAATTACGACAACATAGTATCCATTTTTCATGCTTGTTGGTAACATATATTTTATTTAAAAGTTGTTTTTGTTTAAAATATTAGTTTGTTTTATTTTTATTTATTTATTTATTTTGGCTTAAAAAGACCTGCCATGCTCAGGATATGTGAAATATGAGGAAAAGTTTTTGCTTCTCCCATAAGAACAACTTTTAGTATAAAGCAGTACTCTCACCTACTAACCAGATTCAAGAAGAAAAAGTGGTTACTTCAAAGATGACATTCACGCATGTTATTTAGGAAATTATGCCTGAAGTGTCAATCAAGAATAACATGTAATTTCTGAAGTTCTTTTAAAAGCTTATCTTATATATTTACCATCACCTCCATCTTCTCCACATGGATCTCTATAATCCTCACTTCCACCATGACCTTCAGTACCCTCATAAACTCTCCTTCTGCCACACCTTTCCCTCTTTCTTGCAAATTCCATCCCTTCCCATCACTCTCCTCCCCACTTCCCTTGCTCCTAAACCACCTCTTTTCCTTCTCACCACCTTCCCCAGGGGCACCACCACTATCCAGCATGTGGGCATGTCCTCAGGTGGTGAGT